CCCGCCAATCGCGAGCGAGGGATTGGCTAGAGCGATTTTGAAGTTTAGCCCATGCGGATTGCTAGCCAATTATCTCGACGGTACACCATCGTCCAATTTCCAACCAATCACATCGCACCGTCGAGAGTGCCTCGATGGACATCCTCAACACTACCCATTCAGCCTTCGCCGAGAACATGACAGTACGGAAAACCTCGCAGGATCAGAAGGTCTCTTCCTGAACATCATCGTGCCGTCTCGAGGGTGCTTGTTTCCTTTGCCGTCTTCTATGGACCTGTGGGCCTGCCGGACATCCGTTGGCGCATGGGGTGACATCTTTGACCTTCACCGATAGCGTGTCATCAATGTGGGGGTTCGTCCGTAGTGTAAACTCTGGACGATTGGATGTTCTCAAAGATGCGAGATATGTACGTGGCTCCTCTTCATTCAGCCGACCGATCAACTCGTCTAGAATGTAAGTGTCAGTGGTGATTGACGACGTGGATGCTGACTTACCAGGAAAGTATACGCGTCGCGGAAGTTCAAGATCGACCGAATACTGGCAAGGATGATGTTGGGCGCATGGATTTACCTTCATGGCTCGATGAGGCGCTTGGGATGCAGTTGGTCGTCCAGGGTTTCAAACTACGACGCACCTGATAGTAATTGCAACCCACGAGTCTGGAACGTTGGGAGGACAACTAAGGACAGTCCAGGGAGGGGGAAGCGACGATGGATGGACGATCTGAGTTGTGGGCACCAGGTCACACGGAGCAAGCCGTGAGTTGAGGGGTTTAGTCGTCTCGACAACTGGCTACGCGAGACCTAATGCTTAACTCTCGAGGGTTCAATCAAAATGGGTCGAGGGTTGGCTTTCATAAATCGTGCCTTCAGTTGAAGCTCAGTGGGTGGGATATAGAACTGGAACCTGAACACGTATGCAGTACAAGGGAAATATGTGGACCAAATTTGAAGAAAAGAAACTCCGCCGAAACCGCCACGTGTCCAATATGCGGCTCTTGAATAGGAGACCCCCCCCCCCCCATGTATCCCACCTCCGTCGAACCCAGGGCGTCGTTACCCATTAATATGCGGGAGGATTCTTGTCAATGCCATTAGAGTGGTCATCGCCGAGATAGCTTCTAAGGCCACGACTGGATAGCTACATGCGGTCCCGGGCGCCGTCGGAGTACTGTCTACACGGAGGACGCCCGGCGCTCGCGGGTGATGTGAACTCACATCCGCCGAGCAGGCCCCGGCCTTCCCTCGACTAACTCATAATTTCTGCGAGATGGTTCTAACGCGGGTTGGAAGCAAATTCAAGGACTAATCAAAGGGGGGTACTGGTGCAAAGACGATATTCGCGTCGCCCCGTGTACCTGATCCGAGGAGGAGATATCCTCACGGACCATTAACAATACGATCGCACCCTCATTCGATGATATAACGATCTTACCACTAGCCCCATCATTAAGGACTATACTCCGACTGTTCATCCCTTCTGGTCCACCTCTCTCAGCTCTTCATGCCTGGCTATGCGGAACTCACGCCTCGTGTGATGAAGCGAGAGCAAGTTTGAAACCAGATACTCTTGTCTTGTGTGGGCTGTTCGTGGACGGATCCTCGGCTAGATTGCGGTGCTGCTTTCCGCAGCGGTAACAGCAAACTTTGATACCAGAACTTGCAACTTCACGACGTGGTAGAAAGATCAATCCAAGTTGCTTACTGGAATAGTTCCATATCAGTTCAGCTCCAGAGATCTTGGTCAGAAGAACGCGTATATGATTACGAAAGAGCCGAAGCGGCGACGGGTCAAGGCAAGGGGGGGGGGGGGGGGCTAGCCTCTCCACGCATGGAAAGCACCGTCATAAATGTTTAACAACATCGGATGGGTCCGTCCCTCAGATGAAGTAGCTGCAACCCTTGTCAGGGCACCTAAAACCAGGCTTGAGACAAGCTCGATTTCTGCATTTACGTACAGCCACTGCTACAAGTCTTTCCTGAAGAACACGCCAAAGTCACAAGCAGGCGGCAAAGGCTGTTTCGGATCAGTCCGAGGGCCGGCGTCACTGGATTTGAAGCCGCTCACCAGGCCGTTGACATCTCTCGCACTTTCCCTCAAGTTTCCTGCGTCCAGAGACAATCTCTCTAGTTTCCCTAACTCGTCCTTCCAGGAGGAATTGCCTTTACATAGAACGTCGAAGAGGTATACGCGTTTGAGGGACGGATATGGCGCGAGAATTTTGTCCAGACGTCTATCGAAGTTGAGATATTTCAGACCGAGGGTCATCAAAGAAGGCCACTCGTACCTTCCGAGCACGACCGCGATGTCACTAGCCACTGAAAGGCTGCCGCGACCGTCTTGAAAGTCCAACTTCAACGTCTCGAGTCGGGTTGAATCCCCGATCATATCTGCGAAGAAAGACGTCATCACGAAGTTGTCGCTGCATACGTGTATGTCGAGATTTCGCACATGGGACAGCGTTCCTGGTGGAATCTTATGCATAAAATGACTAAACGGGAAACCTTGGATTTTGATGGTGTGGATGCGTTTAAGCGCTTCTGGTTTTAACCCAAACAGAATCTGTTGTAGATGGCCACTAGCAAATCTGGTTACCTGAAACTCGATGGCGCGCCGGGGAGGGGAATGGGATGTCCGATCAATGTCGAAGAAGGCAGTGATATCGACAATGTATTCCACCGTGTGCAGATTTTCGAAGCGGGAGATAAACTGAGAAACCTGGTCATTGGACCAGGGATCGTTATCGAGCGAGTTAAATGCTTCGATATAAGACGTATAGGCCGCTTCTGTGGCACCGTTAAATGGCGGTCGAACGAGGTTCCGCCGTCTTCGTTCCTCGTCGGGCTCGACGGCCATCTTTGCCAGCTGCGTCCCCTGATCGCTGACATCCTCTACATAGAACCGGGCGAAAGATTCCATTGTACTCCATTTCGGCAGGTAAACACCGTTCAACCTTAAGGACGTCACCTGTCCTCGCCAACTTTCATTGTCGGCGATTTGAGACAATGCATCGAGGGCGGAGGGCGTGGCCGTGAACGAGAGCGCAGACAACTCGCGCGGATCGCCAGCGCCCTTCCACCCGTCTTTGGCGAGTCGCGATCGCAGTTCTGGATTGTGCACCTGGATGTGGTGCCACAGTGCTGCTGGTACGCGATCCATCATCAAAACAAAAGACGACAAGGGCGCAGGTGGGATTTTTAAAAAGGCCATGCCATAGCCCAGCAGGAGTTTGTAGAAAAGCGAAAGCGAGAAAACGAAGGGGGGGGTAGGGAGGACTCTGCAAGATGGGACGCTAACTCCGCCCCGAGAATTTAGTGTGCTTCGCATTTGGGAACCACCGGACAGGGGTTCGAGACTCTAATGCAAGCCTTCACACCGACCATGGTGACCCGCCGCATTCCTGTAACAACCAGCCCCTGGATAGCCCTGAGAGGGACTTTCGAGGATGGCTAGCCACCTCTGAGCAGGTCCTAGCTACTCTAGGTGGCAGAAAGGATGGATACTGTATACAGGAATAAGAAGGAGTCAAGGACCCTAGGAAACATCTCTGTCGGCGCCGCCTGCGGAAAAGTCAGCGAAGAAGAGGAAGGCGACATACGATCCGAAACCGAGGCGCTCTAAGCAACCTATTGAATGAAGCGATGTGCGATCTACGGAAAAGCTACCCTGGAAAGGACCTGCGCTATTCACCTACTGTTCTCCCCGCCCCGGAGAGGCCTCGCCCCATCGCCGCGCCGCTCACAGCGGTGCCGGTGCACGACAAGGGCTCCCCGTGGGTATGGAAGGGCAGCCTCCGGGTGACCGATGTTCCCATGTCATTCCCCGACAGAGTCCCCCGTCAAGCTTGATGCGGCCGAGTCTTAGGGTCCCCTCGTTGCCACGCTGCGAAAATAGCATTTTGATTTCATCCATCAGCAATCCACCGTCGGCAATGGGCCTTTGGGGCTCGCCTTCCATCAAATGACGAAGGACAACAAACCCGCCCCAATATTATCGGGGTGTACTCCGTAAAGTATAGTGCCAAGATCTACGGCCGCCGTCTAGCCCACGCTGGTACTTTGACCTGTCCAAGGGAGTCGAGTGACCGATCTTCCGGAGACGGAAGAGAAAGTGGTGTGGCAGAACGCCAGGGTTTCGGTGGTCTCCCCGCGAAACCCGCTCTGAGCTCGCACTGTCCTGCGTGGATCTCTTCAGGCAACCTCGGCAACCTTCTGAAGATCAACGTATTGTCTGAGTCCCGCAATCTTCTCGTCTCTTCTTCCCGCTGTAGGCAGATTCAAATCAGAGAAGAGACTGAAGTGCATTAGGTTGAAGGCTTGCAAGGTCTCGAGATGTTTGGGGAAACCCTTCCATAGGCGCGGCGCCAGTTCTGGGGTCGGGCAACGGAGTGAGGCGATCTGATGGACGCGTAAGTTAAGTCTTTTCCCTTTCTTTTCCCATGAACGGAAAGGCTCTGAATTTCTCATCTGCTAGATATCCTCAGGTAGGAAACAAGGACTTGCGAGAACGCCTGGAAAGAATCTCTTGGATCCAGTGAACAGCCTTTTAGACAAGGATACGGCGGCCGAGGCTTCAGATTGCAATTGCAACGTCAGCCATGGCCCTTATCAATGGCATCTTCTCTTACTCCTGCTCAAAAACAGGTGTCCGGACTGGCCAAAAGTCAGTCACTCCAGGGCGCCTGGGTCGGGGAAAGCACGGCTAGCTTCGTGGCGCATAAAAGTCCGAGCGGACTGTGGGAACTTTGAACACCTTCCATGCTTCAGGCAGTCCACGTTAGCCCCATTTAAATGAAGTTGCGCTCGATATCGACCGGTCTGAAGTCCAGATGGGACGTTCGGTCGGTCGCCGCCAGCCGATGTGAAGATCCAACCAGCCGGCCCCTCGAGAAATACGTTCCATTTGAGATGATCTCCGTCCCTCCTTGACATGCCGATGAAGCACCAACCCCGAGGGTAAAATCAGGTCGCCATCAGGCGGTTCAGCCCGGGCACATATGTCCGAAAAGAGGAGAATCCGTTCCGTGGAAGGGTCGCCGGAGCTCTGTGGACTGAGAGGCTGCTCGTCAAGCACGCTCCACCGGCTGGCCGGCGGAGATCGCGTCCAGCCACCTTGAGGCTGGTTTTCTTTGTCGTCATCCGAGACCGGCGACTTGACCAGAGCTGAAAGGGGAGATGCTGGAGAGCTTGGATCGTCGAACACAGTTATTTCCTTGCCGATGGGAGTGCCGCCTGTGTTGGCTCTCCGTCGCTTCGCGGAGCGGGCACTACCACAGGTGTGCATGGTCGTAGAATCAGGTCGATTGGCGTGAGAAGGTAGAAGAGTAGAGGGCCGCGTCGTGTCTTCGAGGGAAGGGCCCCTTTTAGAATCCCACGGTCAACTGATCCTCGACATCGGGGCGCCAGAGTAGGGCGCCAAAATACGCGCTCACCCAAGGCCACGGCTGACACCATGAGACGTCGGGGTGGTCAGGCCCCAGGGATTCCACTTCATTTCCCGCTCCCCTGGAGGGCGGTTACAAGGATGCAGTGGTAGGTAGGGAATGGCCACCACCGCCCTGTACCAATATCCCATCTGTTGATCCTCCTTTTCCAGCGGGAACAGGCGATGGCATCGTGGGCTGGACCCTTTCCTTAGTGCGGACGTCGTGGTCCGACTCAAATGGTTGCGCGGTTCTAGCGCTATTTTTAGTCCACGTCGTCGGGAAACCTTCCCATTTTCCCGTCTTGGCTTTCAGGTGCGGATGCCAATTTACATGTCGGGTCTGCTCGACAAAAGCTTTTGTCTCGAACGACTTCTATCTACCACAGTCATCCCTACCGCCTGGTCGTTGCTCCAACGGTCATCCAACCGTCCGCCACCATCCTGTGTGCCCTCATCTAAGGCGCTTCGGTCGCCAATCACATATTGCGCGGTCGATCATGCTCATTGATCTCCTCTTTGACGTTCTTTCACCACGTTGCTCGACGCCGTTGATGTTCAGTCCTACTTGGCCGTGGAGAACGAGGTCATGAGAACTGCTTTCTGCTTCGGGGTGCTGTACAATTGGGTCAAGAAACTAACGAAAGAAGCTTGGCAGGCCCCCCGAGATATATTTCTGGTGTCCAAGACCCTGTGTTTGCTGGAGTGTTACAGTAGTTATGAGTCGGCAGATTTCGTCCATTGTCCTGGCCCAGATCGCCACGTGGGACCTGCCGGGATAAGATGTCCCATTGCCCCTGTCACCCTGATTGGTGAATTCCAAGTAGGGACCCCTCTTAGACTTGAATGTCTGAGTTAGTCCAGACATGATACGGCTGCAGCAGGCTAGGACGCTTGCTAGATAAGTCGAAAGATCCGAGTTGCAAAACACATCGGAGTCTGGTCAAGCCTGTATGACGCGTCTACGTGGCAAGATATAGGCGCGACAGGGGTGATGAGGTGACATTGTAGGACAGGGCTTAAACACCGGCAACGGGGTGCGGCTGAGCCAGCGACCGCCGATGTAAGATCTAGCCGGTCACAGCCCAGCTTAATCATAGGCCAGCTTGCTTGAAAAAGATCGCTTCCTATCTGAATTTAAACTACCGTAACATCCATCAACCTCGAGTCCCATGGCCACAACTCTTATCCTATCATCTCTTTCAGCGGGCTGGCGGCCGTACACTCTGTAAATGTGCGATACCGACCAATGTTTGTCGTTCTCGGAGGATGCCTGGTTGTAAGATATGGCCGTCGGAAACCGGGCTTTGAGGCACTCAATTTGTCAATTTGTCTCCTGATTTGAAGTGTCCATCAAGATGACGCAACCGTTCTGCTATGGCTGCCATGCCATCCAAGCCGTGATGGATTATATCCTTACAGAAGTCACAGAAGAAGGATTCCTGATGGTTTGCCTTGGTGTGCCACCTGTCCTTTCCGCCATCGACATACTCCCATTTTTCTTTATGGTCGTCCTCGAGGTGCTTGTCTAAGGCAGGGTCGTCCTTGTAAAATGAGATGAAACAGAGGGGACACCGCCATTGTGCCGGTTCATTGTGTTCCGAATCATGTCGACTCCAATCATTCCGAGATAGAAAGAGCTTGACGCATCCTCGTTTCAGACAACGGTAAATCACGTCCTCTCCCAATGGGATCACCAATGAGGGTAGCTTCTGCCATTTCACCTCCAGCATTCGGTCGGTACCTTCCATTTGGATGGGATCTTCCGGGGACAAGGTCAAGAAAGTTTTCCGGTCCTCCCATGATAGGTTGACCACCCTCTGCAGCGTTTTATTTCTCGGGACGCTCGTGTCACCAACGTAGTGCATAATCATTTTTGGATCCTCGACAAGGTTAGAGAACCCGAAGCCGCCGGCGTAAGTTAAAGTATTCGCGGCGATATCTGCGCTCTCCGAGGAAGTGCCTTCTTTACGCAGTATAGTGACTGACATGTGGCCGCCTTCCGCGTACATCAGGTGGCCTTCACAGTCTTCACCCATAGGATATATAAAGTCATCAGGATTGGTAACACTGATGGCTTTGTAGGAGATCAGGCGCCAAGATCCGAACATATACAAGGGCCATGCTTTTATTTTTTCGATTTCCATCCCAAGAATTGCGGGTTAGAAAACAAATGTTCTATCGTTTGCGCAGAGAGGAGGAGAAAGACAGGATGAGAAGTGGTCTCGAAACGCGGATTATATAGCTTAGATTCTTCCGGAAGCGGTACCCGGTGAACCTAACCGATAAAGGAATCTAAATCTTGTGGCTGGCGAAAGCCAAGTCTCGTTGGTCCCTCGAGTGTGATTCGGGCGGCATAAAATAGGAGACCCCGCTCTTGCCATCGTCACGGCAGTGCCACCTCGGAGGTTTCGTCGAGATTTCATCGAGAGATCGTAGAGGATGGGTTTCCCCGTCCATGGGAAGGAGAAACCCTCGTGCTGCTTGGTGGCGCAGGCCGAGCAGTTCTCCACCGGCGAACTTGGTTGCAGCACTTCGTGATGGGGACGTCGTGCTTTCCACACCAGTGTGCTGGGTCGAGGGGATGGTGGTATTGGTATGGAAAACCCCTGCCGTGTTTCCTGGAGTGCCGATGTGGCAGTCTCTAATTTCCGCTTCTTTGCCTTGATGGCCTTCTTTGCCGTGTTGGTTCAAAGCTTCCTCTTTACCCTAGGATAACCGAGTGATGAGTGGCCGAGACACTGTCCAGTCTGCGAGTGCGGCTGGGAGGACTGTGCTCGCGACGGCGCCGTTGCCGGGGGCAGATCTCCTGGGGCAGTAAATATCGGCGCAATACTCGGTATCAGCTGAAGGAGTTCAGGATGAGGCGAAATCAGCGAGAGAAGATCATCCCCGCCACCAAATTTATAGAGGAGGGAGAACAGCCCATGGACCGCGTATCGACACATCCGCAGGAGAGTCTTCCGCTCCGCCACCGTTATAATTATATAGAAGCTATTCCATTCTTACGATACTGTACTTAGGGTACGCTAGGATGTATGATTTAGAAGACTTCTTTCAATTTGAAGAATGCCTCCCTAAAGAAAACCCATAACTAATCCCGAAAAGCAAACAATTTAATCAGCTACTACTGCGGCGCATCCCCTTGTAGTCTCGCAGTAACCACCCCCCCCCCCCCAAAAGATCTCTTGGTCCCTCAAATATAACCCTACAACAGTACCATGTCTTTCTTCCACCGTCCTACGCGTGTGAAACCGTCATATAATGGAGACAGTCTCACTGACTCCGTTGGAATGCGCGAATTGGATGCCTGAGCGGTCTATCCAATAATGAAGGAAACGCAGTATTGTGGAGCGGCTTGTCAGAAGCACCACTGGCCGGAACACGAGGATCGCCGGGGCCACACACTTGATGGAAAGGTCAGTATTGACAGGGAAGAGGAAGGCTTTGTGCATACTTCTGGAGCTTTATACTCAGAGCATCCAGGGTATAAGAGCTAAATCGGTAGCGCAGCTACTCTGATTTGAACATCCTGGAAGTTTCCGAGATTCGTTTTCGGTGTTCCCATGTTGGTTGGAGGTGCCGAGCATTTTATGTGCAGCTCACCACGTGGCCGAGCGTGCCGCCTTGCCGCCTCGGCCACTTTATGCCCATTTTCGGTCGCGCAGATGGGCTTGCGGTGGCGAAAAGTCCAGCGTTGTGCAAACCTCACAAATCCAATACAGTGTGAGCTGGCATCAAAGTCGAAGATTTATCAATTATGTAGGGCCGATCCCGACGCGTTCTTTTATTCCCTTCCCATTCTGGACGACAAGGGGTGAGATCCATTCAACATACGCCAATGACCCTAATGGACAGGACCTGATATCGACCAGCGTATATGTACTATCGGCTCAATCCCAATAAGGCCGATGTTCCAGTCTCTCTGGGATCTCTCACGGGTAGTGAGCTTGTCACTTTGGCCTTTTCAATGGATGTGCCTCGGTGTTCAGGACGTAATCATCTAGGTTGATAAGATCGGGCGGTGAGAAAATAAGATAAAGATACTTTAGTGTTTCGGCGAGCCAGAAGCTCTGGAGAGTGTTTCAGCATATCTCAGACGCGAATGGTGATGGGGCGGGGTCTTACCTCCATTGAATCCCTTTGCGAGGGTCTGCCACGGGTTGTAACGTCATCGATCGCGGCGTTGGCATAATCGGTCTCAGTGGCGGCCTGGATGGACTGGAACATTTTCCATGCGGCATCTTGTAGCTCCACGTTGCCGGTTGTACGGTAGAGTATGAACACGCTTTCGAGAGCCTCTGGGCGTAGAGAATAAGATGGATCCGGGACCGCCGCAAAACCCTCGGGCAGTGTTCCGGAGGCCTGATCTGCGTCCCACTCGCACACTTCGAATGACGGACACGGCCGCATCCGAAAGATTTCCGGCATAATACCGGTGGGAAATGCATTGTAGGCGTAGATGCAGCCTTGTGTCAACCTTGCGCCAATGTCGACATGCTCCGGAAGCGAAAACAGTTTTCCTCCCAGAATGAACATTCCGCCTGCAAAGCAGCTTAAGTGTTGTCCTTCTGGATTGAGGTTAGACCTCCCCGATGTCGCCGATGCAGAACCAGCGACCAAGACAGCCGTGTTATTTGGAAGCATTGGCCTGAACAGCAGGTGGTCGATCGCCGTCGCCATAGCTCTCCGGTAAGCTTTTTCGTACGCGGGCTCCAAACCGCCAAGCAGGCAGTGCATCTTAGGTAAGTACTCGTAGAGGGAATCCGCCAAGGCTCCCAAAGTAAAATCACTTTCGGAGAAGATCTGATCTTGCGCATTGATGTGCATCGGCCACATCCCCGGCAATTGCGTGGAGTTTTGGTGCTCCAGAAACACCGAGGTCACCCGGGCGATCGCATCGTAGTATTTGGAGTCTCCGGTAATCTGAGAGAGTCTGGTGAACTCCAGGGTGAAGGACCCCACGGCGGCCGAGATTTGATGATCCTCGGCTACCAGCTGGCCGGTTCGAGCTTTCTCGAAATCCAGCCAAAATGGAGGCATGTGGTTGGGAGTATCGAAGCCGGCGTACAGCATGTCCCCGAGCTCGATGGCCTTTGCCAGGAGAGCGGGTTCATCGCTGAGGTCATACGCGGCCAGCAGCCCACCCAGATGCCTGATGTTGGTCTCAAACATGTTGCATGCCGTGCCTGACGCGATGGCCCAGTCAATGCTCGCGGCCGCCTGTACAGCTTCGTGGAATTCTTGAGTAAGTCCCATGATCCACAGTGTGTCGAGAGAGTCGACCAGTGTGGCAGCCCATCCACCAAAGGTCTGCTTATTCATGCCGGAGATGGGTTGCAGTTCATCTTTCATCCAGGCATGGGTTTGGTAGCTTTGCCAACATTTCTTGAATGTATCCAGCACCGCTTGTTGACGTGATTTTCGCTGAAGGGCGGCGGGTTTGGACTCTGGTCCAAACGTATACTGGATTGGAGGAAACAGGTGTGGTTGTCCCGACGGGAGAGGGGCAGTGGACTGTAGAGGATAGTGATAGCGGTAGGTGGACCAGTCAAAACTGCTTTTGGTAAGGGGGATTGACGCCGATGAACCGAGAAGTGGTCGAAGGGCTAGAAACACCGTCATCACACCAGTAGACACGAGCAACGTAAGGATGAAGCGTCTCGAATACCATCTGAGCATGTCGCCTTCGCGAGGCTTGGTGGAAAATCCTCGTGAAGGCGAGAACCGAGCTGGAATCCAGGAGAAGGTGTCGGGGTCGACTCACTTCATCATCGCGGTAGAAACCCTAACGGGACACCAAGAACTCGACGTGGTACTGTAGCGCGCAAGACTGACCGTGGGATGCCTGGATTCTCCAGGATCGCTTACATAGGGATTTGGCATAAGCTGGCGTGGGGTGGTTGGTCACATCTCATGGGTTGATAGATCCTGACCATGTTTGACAGTGACACCTGAGAGATCCCATTGGGCTCTACCAAAGAAATTGGAAGCCACCAATCAAAAATAAGTTCAAACACATCTAGTTCGGCCAACGCTGTGAGCCTTAGTGGCCTGGCTTGACCGCGGGGAATCTGAATTGTACAGTACTGTAGAATGACCACCCAACTCTCTAAAGGTGACTCACTCGATTGACGGTCAGATATGCGTGTCGAGCGTAGAACCGCCGCTCTCACGGTACTCTACTGGCTCTTCACCGATAGGTCACGTGATGAGAGAGGGTTGCCTAGGGCAGTCGGTAGAATCGAGTTTCAACAGCGCGGAGTTTCCCTCACTCTGATTCCGGAACAATGCTTATCTATTCCGACGTTCCGCAAGCATCGACTGCGATTGGGCGAATCAATATCTTCATTTGAAAGAGGAATTCAGTTATTCCAATTGGCCCCCATGCCTTTTTGGTCTTTCCCCCAATGACGACGATTCGCCAAGACACGAAATTAGCCAGTCCTGACGCCTCTTTCGGTGATTCCTGACCTCCATGCCTGGCTGGCATCCACTTGTGATGAGCCCAAAATATAAAGACCTTCCAGGGCTGATTGGGGCAGACATCTGCCTTTATGCCACCACAACCACCCACTTGGGAGCGACGGCAGTGGCGAGTTTCGTGGGAGTGGCTGCTCTACCGGGGTTTAGTATGGTCGACCTTCGTTGTTATTTAATGTTCCTGTTACGATCTTTGGGCACGGAACCCAGTCACACGAGCGACACTGGGGTTGTATGAGTGGAAAACGAGGGACTAAAGGGGTTAGGCAAGCTGCAATTTCGCGTAGTGACATTGCTGCATTTCCAAAAGTTAGACAACCACAACCATTACACGTGGCAAGGTGGTGATACTTACGAGTACCGTGGAACTGTCCATAATTTCCTCTTAATGGCTGAACCAGTACAGTACCATCTCCATAGCAGAAAGTGTATGCTGTGATGAGCCGTGGTCCAGTGTACCTGCCGCTGAAATTCACAATATGTACAGTATCACAACTTTACACAAATCTACAATTCGGATTGAGCGTCACGACTCAAATGAACAAATCCAAGACATTGGGGCAACAATGGCTATGTGTTACGAACCAGGTCACTTGAACGGTCGCCGATGGAGAACGAGGCCTACGTCACGTGACCAGGCTCAAGCTGTATATACGCGGTCATTACCCTAGATAGAACTATTCGTAGTTAACTTCGTTGGCAATCCTATATCTATATTTAGGTTACCCGAACGAGAATAGTTCCCTTTGTTGTTTACTGTGTCACACCTCTCTAATTACCCACTTATCAACGATCCTCCTTGGTCAGTACTTCTCAGCGGTTCAGATGATAACACTATGGGCTGTCGCGCTGCGTGTTAGCATGTTTGGCCAGTAGCTTGTGGGAATTTTCTCCTAACTGTGGTCTGTAATTGTCTGTGCGCTGGGTCTGACTCACTTCGAAGCAAGGGTTGAGCTTCGCTGCCTACGGCTACAAGATAGTTTTATGCCCTAAGTTTCCGTTTTGACACTTATGCTTGGCAACCCCACGAACCTACCCTCCTCGTATAAATCACCACTATACGCTTATTTTTTGACCGAAGCAACTAATATTTAGCTTATTCTATTGCCTAAGAGCAAGCCTTTCTAGTGATATTAACAAGGCACACCAATCTGACTCCCTAAAAGCGTTGTATACCAACCTTCCGCCTCAATCACCGCATTCACCCGGGCTGTCATATACCTTATTAGCGAATCGATTTTCTCCTGGTCTAGAGCACGCCAGCACTCGCGGATTGCGTCCTTCAATATAGGAGACGAGAATATCGCTCTAATACCATCTGCTTAAGCATCGCCTAGACCTACTCAATTGGATTGAGATCAGGATTATATGGAGGCCACTCAAGGGCGGATATCTTGCGCCCCTCAAGCCAGGACGTGATAATACTTGCTTTATATATTGGAACGTTCTCCTGCATGAATATCATGGACTAAAACTACTCCTCCGATAAGTGTAAGGGTTTCAATAGGAGTGTATCCAACTACCATAGTACCTGTATAACACCCCCTTCCCCCGATGTGCAAGTCTATGTATTCTTCAACTTATCCTGCTCAGGCGACGGGCACTATAACTCTCGTGAGATCCAACCTCTAACGCCGGATCCAACGCCTGAACCCAACCTGGGACCGGATAAACTCGGTCTCGAGGCAGAGTTACAGGTGTCCCTCGGCGATAAAGAATACCTCCCATCCCCGGGGTTTGTGGACGAACTGATTTCGTGGCAAAAGGCGGATAAATTTGAGCTTTTCCAATGTCAGGATCCTGTTTACTGTATGTCATATTTCACAAGAAACTAGCGCTCGCCCTTTATCAAGAACTTACAACGAATCGTCATGCAAAGTTTACTCTCCCCCATCGATTCATCCACTACTGGCTGATCCGAGGCAGCATTCGTCCAGGTGAAGAGACCACCCAAGTCTTTCCCAAGGAGTGATACTCGGATATATGGCGCGAGTCAAACTCCCTCCAGGATGGGAATGATCTCCACCCGGCGATGTCGGTGCACAACCTCCAGCAAAGACATGAGATGTTCATGTGTATGGAGAAGGAGAACACCACCATGATTATGTCGGGGATTTCGATCTCCTTTCACAGCCGGAACACTTGGAGATATTTTACCGTAGCTTTAACAACGTCGCGGCCGTCGACGCGGCCGCCAACGAAATTCTAGCGATGAGAGATTCCTTGACGGGTAACACAGGCGGGTTGACTCAGTCCGCAGCCCTCCACGGTCTCAACCCCCATTCTCATCTCGCATGGCGTTTCTCCTCTCTACAAAGTGGTCGAGTTAGAGACGGAGTGAATTCTGCTGTTGCTTGCGCTCTCCGTCCTGCTTCCAACCGGGCACCCATGGACGACGTCTCCCGCCACCATGACGTCGTGCACCGCCATTGCCGGGCCGCCCACGACCTCGGCAGAGGGCATCCTCGCTCGTTCTCCGCCGTGGATCCGGACCGAGAGCCGTCAATGGGATCAAGTCACCGAGCGTCCGACCCAGGTCGAGCGTCGAGGTCCGAGGCCCGATCGAACATAGATCGGGCGCGGAAGGTTGGGATTCGACCGATCCTCCACCCGAAATGACCGCCAGGGCCCTCAGAGGGTCTCGCAGCCGATAACTGTTACAAGACTTATGAGATCCCAGGATCTGCCCTGCCACTCTCCACTTGGTCTCGTCGTTGCTCTGGACAGCCTCGCCGACCGTGCGCAGGTAATCAGCCATGTCCTCTCCTTCCAGACCGACGGCCTGGTCGTAGTGCGCGACCGGTTCTCCGTGCCACGGGTCCCCCGCGTCACGCAAGACGAGATATCGGATGCTCCTCTCTGCCCGGTACCGGACCAAGACCCCAAAATCCGCCGGGAGGGTCGTCATCCTTGACACGAGGTGGCCGAATAATCCCGTCGCCGTCTGTTCTTGCCCAGCTTCGTAGTGGCAGATTGTCTCGTAACATGTCAGGTTCATCCAGACGGGAGAGTCCTTGCCATTTGCCTTCTGCAACCGCGTCTTGGTTACAAGGCAGACACAGTGAGCCTGGGCTAGAAACCCCAACTTGAGAAGACAGACGATGCAGTTGCGCAAACTGGACCAGGCCCAAAAACTGCGCGGGTAGAGGTGAGGTGCGCGTCTCGATATGTATTTGGCCGAGGAGATGCCGAGGACCCGTTCGTACTGCGCGGCCGTGGTGCAGACAAAAGCGTTCGTGAGGGGATCGTCGAACGGCTTGGGGTCGGTGGGCGATGACGAACGCATCAGTATCGATGCATTGCCTTGTCCTCCCCGTGAGTGTGCGTCCATTCTGCCGAACGGGGGGGATCGACCACGGATCTGAGAGGGCCTTCCTGGGGGTTCAGAGGAAAGATTTGCCTCGCGAAGCCAGGACGGATCCCAGACTCTCTCATATCGACCACTCCTTGAGGCTGCCTTCTCCCTGGATCAGGGCCATCTGCTCTCGAAAAGCGACCCAGGTGAACGGTGGACCATTTCATACAGCATCCAGAAATGGCCCTCAAATGAACCAAAGGGCCGCCGGTTTTTCTGTATCGGAAAACGTCAATGGCATGTGACCACGATCTCGGTGTGGAAGATCTGCGCTGAGAGGCTTCGAAATCGTAAACGCGGGCGGGCGGGGAGGGGGAACCAAATCGGGAGGTTGACTCGTTTCCATTGTCAAGAGGTCTCAAAATTCGAGTCTAACGTTGACGTGTAGCCCACGGAGCATCACACGGACGGAACTGCCCTTCCTGTTGCCAGCTGAGGCCATCCTACGTCCGAAGGGACGTCTGCTTAATTTGACTAAAGTAATCCTCTTGTCAGAATTCGATGCTTCACCACCCGTGCGCAATAAATCGCCGTCAGGTGCGATGGAACCACAATGGTGGCCTACAGTGGGTGGTCCTCGTGGAGGAAGAGGTCGGGAACAGTCATCATTTGTCGGACCCCACCCGAAAAATTGCGCCTGCGCGGTCCTTCTACCGTGGGAGGTCGGCGAACAGAACTGGGCTCTCGGCTGATTTCGCGACGTCGCATCCAACCTCACTCCGAGACCCAAGTAGGCAGGTTTTCTGTCCCACCATTTGCACGTCGGCTGTTGGCGAAAGTGTTCCAATCCTTGTGGTCCGGTCAATGGCGATGTAAGGGCTCGAAACTGGGATGATTTTTATCGGTGGTTTCACGGACTGGACTGTACATGTACATACTATACTACTGTAAGTTATACTCTATCCACCGCCGCGAGCTAAAGGTCTGGACGGGTCGAAAGGCGGAGTGGACGTTTCGTACACTCGGTGCCCCAGCCTCCGAAAACCCCATCCGTATGGTCAGTTACCCGTGCCATGAGATTTGAGCAGGCTGCTTCTTGGTAGCGCCTGGTAGCGCCTGGAAACGGCATCCTCTCCTTTGTCGCGAACGGCGCTCTTCATTTGGTTTACCGCGTGGTATATGACTGGCTTGGCAACGCTGATTTAGCCCCGACAATTTTGACCGTCACTTGCTGCCCTCCTGGGGTGTATTTTCCCACCCGATAGTCAGGCCTTGTGTTACCTTGCGTGTATTAAGGGAACACAACGTATGTATCCGTCGTCAGTTCGAAACATAATGCAAAGTACCATGTTACAAAGGCCGGAAGCGGAATTTTCTTTGCCATCCACCCCTGCCCCATCACAGAGGTGTTGAAGCGTAGCGTCTTTAATGTATCGGGGGGCCATGTTGAGACTTTGGCCGGAATACTGATTTCATTCTGAAGACATGTAACTGTTGCAGCCTTTATACTGTATGTAGGATCCATTATTCTACACATCGTCTAACCCGCCGTGGGTATCAAGTGTTGCCAAAGCGCGTGTCTGCAAGACGGCATATCATGTAGCCAGTGGAAAAGAAGGGCCCTCCCGCAGCATTGAAGAGGATTGGCGGAAGAACATATTGAAAGGTGTTTCTGGATCCTACTGGTGAATAGCGGTCCCTCACAAGTGCTCAAGAACCTCTGCGCTGCCGAAGGACTGATTCCGGTCCCTACCGTTAAAACTAGAATTATGGACGCTTCTACCGAGACGCCCCCGTTACAGGATGGACCATCTGCCACAGCCCAGTCAACTGTCTCACTAACTGAGAGTGAGATTGATGATTCTGGCTTACTTGATATTTCAGTCCTTGAGTATACGGAGTATCAAAAGTCGCGAGTCAGCAGCTTATCCCGTAAGCGGGAGATTGAGAAAGGTGGGTAAGGCTGTGGAAAATGATGGTTGGGATCTAGTACTGCTCTGTGAGAGCCGACATCACGAAGTCCTTTACAATAGTCCTAACTTGAAACGAGGGCACAGTTGCTCGTTGTCTGAGAGAGATTAGACCGTTGGATGAAGCGCCGGAAGTTTCCAAGTTGAGACCGGTTTACTATGGGGTGAATATTTCCATGTTTCATACAAACGCTATAAGTGACTAGGTCCGGGTGGAACTCTGTGACTGTCACTCCTGCATGTCTGAAGTGACCTCTAGCAGCCCGGGCGCTGATGAGGACGACAAACTAGTGAGCAAGAAGAACAGTACCATCCAGATGGTGAAGTCCGAGAGAGTTGACACCGGATTCCATCCACAACGTGCATCAACCCAAGGCGGCCGCTATGCCAACGTGGGTCCCGAGTTGTGGCGATTCATGCCTAGGTCTAACGGTCTTCCTCCCTTGAAGCCGTCCGGCCTCGGTGGCCGAGGCCGACCAAGAGGAGGGTGCAATCCGGAACCAACGAACCGTCCAATCCAAGCTTCCAGTGCAATTTTAACCCATTGTTGAGCATGCGCCAAGCTATTGATGAAGCTGCCACATCGACGATAACAAGTTTACAATACCCCGGGAGCTGTCGAACAAACCGCGGCTGAGGTGGCGACCGTCCCCAAGCAGATGCGGTTCGGGCTGGGCGATCGATCTCCATACGTTCGCCCATGTTCTCTTCTGTACTTTACGTGACTCTATAACCTCAGTCAGGGCGGAACGCTCTCCTTCGGGGAATATCTCCGGAGAGTGGACTAGCATGTTGTCGAGTTCATCGAGGCTCATCGTCGTTTTCCAGGTTACGGAGATTTCTCCAGTCAGCGCGAGAAACTCTCCTTGGGTCAAGAATTTTAGAAACCGGGCTGGGTTTTTCTCAATTTCATCGCGGCTCATCGTCTGTCTCCGGGTTACGGAGATTTCTCCAGCCAGCGCGGGAAACTCTCCCTCGGTCAAGGTTTTTAGGAACTGGGCTAGGTTGTCCTCAGTTTCACCGAAGCTTATAGTCCTTCTCCGGGTTACAGAGATGTCCCCGGTCGCAGTCCACTGATAGACGTGGGATGTCGATTTGTTAGATAATACTCCCAATATGACTTTGTCCTTCAAAGGGAAGACTTGTGCCTCGCGATGAGTCCATTCTTGGTTGATAGAGCATGTCCCGTCGCAGTGACATTTTCTATTCCCCACACATCCACACTGATAAGGATAGTCATCATCAGCGTGCACTTCGTCGTCCATGTCGTTGGGAATACTGGACTGATATTCCCACGAGAGGGGTGTATTCAGAAACGAGGAATAATATTGTAACAGAGACAGTTGGAGAGAAGAGTTATCGGTGGGACGGCGAGACCGTTGATCTAAAATACCTCTTCCGGAGCCTCCGTTGGATGAAAGATCGTTTGCAGCACCGTAGGGGTGCATTAGTGTCGGACCTTACTGTCCCTACAAGGCAGGTTATCGGTTAGTGAACCGCGACGTCCTGTAGCTAAGAATATCTCACCTATCTGATAGTCCTCCGGCAGGCGCTCAATTTTGACCTCCGATAGGACTCACCAATTATCGAAAGGTTTCTCAGACCGGCTAGGGTCTGGCAATTAGCAGGTACAACGCATCTTGGTCCGCACCCTGTTTTAAAGGTTAACCAGCAGAATCTAAGACACAGTTGGCACCACTGCGGCCGGGGATCCTAAGCGGAGCGGGGCAAGAAGGCGACCAACTTACACCACCATCTTCTCTAGGCCAGTTAAAATGGGCCGCGTTACGTTTCTCCCGGCTCTGCACACGAGGGGGCCCACTACTCCCATTTAACTCATGCCCGGATTCTTGCCCAAGCTGCGCCCTACATCAAAGCGTCGTGGGCTCATATTGATGGTGTTCTATCGGTTCAAATCGGCTCACAGACTTTGCTCCCCCGGATGCCACGTTAGCCGGGTTCACCGCCGTTTCACTGCCAAAGGAGTGCAACTTGTCAGGTGTCTGGAGGGAACGGCGACCCAAGTTAATTCAAGTCACATCGTAACGATTGGTTTGTTACATAGCTGTATTGGTGACGCAGAGATTTTGGGAGGTGCCAAGGAGAGTCGTGGTGGATCACGACGGTAAGAACCAGGTGGGAAGGGAAGTATTTAGTATTTAGTATTTTCGGGGCTGTACGCGACTATAATAGAAATAATATCCCTCGAACCCACGCCATTGAAGCACGTGCGTTGCGGGTCCTTTTCTCGACTTTACATCCCCAAGAGTGGTGGACCCCAGCGAAAATAAGTTAATGTTCACCCTGGATTGGCCATTTCGGGCACGACGGCGAAGCAATCAATATTCTCGGCTTTGAGGGCTGCAACAATCTCTCCGGCGAGTCTGAGGCACCTTTCTTCTTGGAATTGCCGTGCGACGATCTGGATGCCTACTGGTGCTCCATCGTACGCGTCCGCATTGTCTGCTCGATGGTGTCAGCATGAGAATGGCGACTCAAGAAGTTGAAGAAGTGAGGTCGTCGTTCTGCACCTCTCAACAAACAGGAGAAAGGGGAAGGTTGCTTTTGGATTTCGCTTACATGCTTCCCAGTTCATCTTGTCCGTTTTATTCAACGGAATGTAGTGCTTTTCAGCTTCGTCTAAGCTTCTGTCTGCTTTGGTGACAGGAATGACGATGCTGGTGTAGTCGAGCAAGTTGATGACGTCGGAGTAGCCTGCATATACGATGACCGGGTCGTGTCAGCAGACCATATGTAGTCAGCAGGAAAGGAATTTTCGTTACCGTAGTAGTAATAATTACCCGGGATCACGGCGGCGTGGGGAGCAACTGGCATGATGAACGCATCTGCGGCCCTTCCAGTTCCGGTCTGTTCGATCGTGGAATTCCAGTATTCCCTGTACCGTTGGCGATATTCGATTCTCTGCTGACCCAACATCTGGAACCCTAGTAGGCTCAGGGGCGGTTTGGGGCCTGCACCCAGCTGACCTACCAGTTCTTTAATCGGCGCTTCTCCAGAGAGTCTCAGCTGCTCCCACGTATTTGCTCCGCCGTCGGAGTACATGAATCGATTCTGGTTCAAGGAAAGAAGAGTTATCAGCGAATCTGCCCCTCATAGAGACCAGCGTAGTATTTACATGTATTTGACTTCCTTCGCGGTGTGGAGGAGGATTCCATCTGATGGTCTGTTCATGTGTGGTCAGTTACCTGTCTAGTGCATGAAGCGAACGTCAAGCAGAAAGCAGAAAGCAGAACCCCCAAAAATCAACGAGTGGGGTTTTCACATTATGGCCTTTTCTCTTGATTGCCTTTTCGATCATGCGTAAAGCACGAAGAATTGGAGGATGTGGTAGGACGAAATCATCGCAGCTGAGGAAACCAAAACATAATCTGTCCTCGACCTTTTCGTACTCCAGCCTCCATGGCATGGGAATGACTTCGGCATCAGATATCCAAGGTTTGGTCGAGAGCAGGGCGAT